GGTGAGTGTGGGGTGTGGGTGTGTGGGTGTGGGTGAGTGTGGGGTGTCGGTGTGGCTGTGAGAGAATAGACGATTCCAACCCACACCCACACCCACTTTAAAGTATTCATTCTGAAAAATGTCAACGTTAAACTGGTGTCTGTTAAGTGTAGTTCATTCATTTGATCGGGTTTAGGAATTCTGTTCAATTTATACCAAGTGAACTATAAGACACGTGTTGAACAATTAGATAAACGAAAAAGAAAAGGACGTTCCAAAAAAGTTAACACAGCTTACAGTAAGTAGATATTTAATAAAGATGTTCAATTATCCTTGTCTATTTGTTATTTCAATTATTTTTTTTTTTGGATGCTGTACTTTTTTGGAGAAATAAATATGTTGGATGAATGTTGATAAATCTGGTAATCAAAAGTATATTTTTTGAGTGATCATATGTATCGAAAACTGTGTGGTGATCAAAACTATCCTTTTTTGGTCATGATTTGTTTCTTAAATTGTTTGGTGATCAAAAGTATCTTTTTTGATGATCAGAAAAATGGCCACTCGCTAAGAATTATTACAACACGATAATTAATTGATACTTATTTATACATAGATATATATGAGTACTTCATACGGAAATGTAGTCTGTAAAAGGGCACACTGGCTGAAACTAATGAGTAGTTGTGTATAAATAAGAAATGTGCTACACTTCCTTTATCCATTCTTAGTGTATATGTTTGTTGCAGATCCCTTTCTCTGTAAAGAAACTTGATGTTTGTAAAATCTTCGGTTCAATTCAGCCGAAATTCAATTTTATTCGAATTATTATTTTTTTTTCTTTTTTCTTTTACATATACGAGTGAAGAGCACAGCCATTGTACCGTTTAAGAAAAAAAATCGATAAAAATAAACTTAATAATGAGAGAGAACTAAGTGTTGCGTTTGACAGAGCGATGTCGATTGTACATGAAAATAATATTTTCCCACCACTTCCTTGTGTTGTTGTGGAGATTCACGATATAAAACTAAGTGAACAGAATGATAATGGTTTTTACTTCAAAATAATGATTTTTTGAAGAAAATATTCAGAAAATGTTTATTAATCATACACGTTATTATGAAACAATTCTTGGCACAGAGCTAGCTCATGTGTATTGTTTTCATATATCAAGCAGTTTTAGTGAATCACTGCTTCGAAAAATGTCGCCCTACGTTTTTCTAGTAAAATTGAATTTTCTCCAGAATGGAGCGATATTTTCAATTGAGTTTTTGGAGTATTACTCTACTCTATGAGCCTGAGCAAAGATCAAATTTTTGTTGCAAACAGTTAAGTATTCAATGAGCTATAGCAAAAACAAAATTAAAAATGTCGCCCTACATTTCGTCTAAAACTCATTTTTTTTATCTTATATAAAAGGACGGGGGGCGCATTTGGTCGTAAATCGGCCTGTCGGACTTTTTTCAACGGAACCCCTACTATCTTTTATCAAATGAAAGATCTCATTGAGATGAACATTTTTAGTGACGGGACCAACTTTTCTTTCACGAGTGAATAAAAAGTTACAGTATGATCAATATTTGGCGTTTTTCGGCCTAAATGGCTTTTATGATCAAAATGATATAGTTCACCTATCCACATGATAACAAGAAGAAAAAAAGATTTTCTTTACATCATTTAGTAGGCTATATGACCCTCTAACACCACTATAAATATCAATGTTTTTGCTTTAGTCCTTATGGCTTTATAGTCGAAATATGATCTTGAAAGCTCTTGAAAAACGGTGTGTAGATTCTCAGACGTGACCATTGCAGATGTTCTTTCTCTTCAACAGCAAGAGCAAACATCATCATTTTTTTATCATAGAGAGCCCTTTACATTACCTATAAAATCCACATTTAAGGATTTAAAAACGATTAGGAGAAGACACCTGCTGGAGATGCAGACTGTCATTGGAGTGCCGATTTTGCCTAAAAGTCATCAGTATTTCATGTATTTGTGTTCGAATTCTACTTAAAAGAAAAAATCCAACATCAGATTCGTGTTCAGGACATAAAACTGAGTCACTCTATGCGCTTTTCAAAACGATCCGGTAGCTTTTATTTTTGTCGAAAAATTCAGGTGAGGTCCCCGTCAGGGATGGGTCGAAAAATAAAGCAAGTCAAAACTGACTTTTGTCTATATGAAACAAGTTCTTGACCTTTAAAATATTATCATAACCCTTAAAGGAATACATCTATGTGAATAAAATTGAATTTTGACTTATTTTATTTTTCGATCCATAGCTGAGGGGGACCTCACCTGAATTTTTCGACGAAAATAAAAGTTGTCGGATTGTTTTGAAACACGTATAGACTAACTCAGTTTTGTGTGCTGAACAAGAATCTGACATTGGATGTTTTCTTTTAAGTAGAATTAGAAGGGGAATACTGGAAATATGGATCACTTTTAGGCAAAATCGGCACTCCAATGACAGTCTGTGTCTCCAACAGATGTCTTCCCTCAATCATTTTTAAATTCTAATAGGTGGATTTTATAGCTAATGTAAAGGGCTCTCTATGATAAAAAGATGATGATGTTTGCTCTTGCCGTTGAAGAGAAAGAACATGTGCAATAGTCGCGTCTGAGAATCTAAATACGGTTTTTCAAGACCTTTCAGGATCATATTTCAACTATAAAGTCAGAAGGACTAAAGCGAAAGCTTTGATACTTTTAGTAGTGTTAGAGGGCCATATAGCCTACTAAATGATATAAAGAAAATCTTTTTTTCTTCTTGTTATCATGTGGATAGGTGAACTATATCATTTTGATCATAAAAGCCATTTAGGCCGAAAAACGCCAAATATTGATCATACTGTAACTTTTTATTCACTCGTAAAAAAAAAGTTGGTCCCGTCACCAAAAAGGTTCATCTCAATGAGATCTTTCATTTGATAAAAGATAGTAGGGGTTCCGTTGAAAAAAGTCCGACAGACCGATTTACGACCAAATGCGCCCCCGTCCTTTTTGCACTAACGAACTTTATGGAACAAACCTCTTTTATTTCTCAAATTATTTTTATCTTAGTTCTCTCTGATATCCAACCAAATTACAACAAAAAAAATTTCTCCAAACGAAATGCCAATGATTTTAATGTCGCCCTACGCAAAAATGAAAGTGTCTCAACGTCCATCATCAACAGTTTTTTATTCATAAGACTTTCTCTAAAGCTAAAAATAAAGGCATATCCTAAAAGCTCTTGATGAATACTACAACTCTAGTTGCAAAATTAATTTTAAAGAAAAGCAATGGAATAAAAAAAAATTGGTTTTCTTCCGACAGGTGGCATTAGAAGCTAGGTATTTAACACTGTTGCTATGATTTCTCTGAAACTAAAACACGTGGGAAATTGATTTTTTCAGAAGTGAATGACCATCCTTAGACCAGTAAAATAAAAAAAATTATTAAAATCGATTGAACGGATCTCGACTTACAAGCATTTTTCTTTGCGGAACACAACGGTACAATGGCTGTGCTCTTCACTCATACATGTATTTTCATATATAAGAGAGAGAAATATATAAGTGAAATATAAGGAGAGAGATGAATAAATATCCTCTACTCTAGTCCAGACTATTTTATATAAAGAATATGACGTCCAATGTGTGCTTTTATTAGAATGCCATTACGTTTAGAACAGAAGAAAAGAGTGATAATTTATTAATATTGTCACGGCCAACTAGGAAAGTAGAAGAGAAAAGAATAAGAAATAAAGATGTATGTTAGAGCACTCTAACAAAGTTAAATATATTTAAATATATATTTGAATGGAAATCGGTTCCGAATATTTCGAACCGAACCGGTCCCATCACTGTTTAGTATTACAATTATATACCCTTATGACCATATACGAGGGCCGTAAACAACCA